TGTGTATATATGTGTATGTGTGTGTGTGTGTGTGTGTGTGTGTGTGTGTACAGAGAGAGAGAAGAAAGAGGGAGAAAGAAACTGTTATTTAATAATAAGGAGATACAGATCACATCTCACAATTTTAATTTTATTTCACAGGCATATTCATTGAAACAATGTCTGGGATACAGCACTAATAAAGGGTATCCCTGTCCAAATGTTTTTCATCATGCAGTAAGAATTAATAACTGCTTCTGATATTATAATATGTAACAAATGCACAGTAGCATATATTTATGTATAAATGTAGATTCCATATTTAAGATTTGATAATTAAAAACTGTTATGCAATACTCTAATAATTTAATCCTTAAGTAAACCAAACCTAAAAATAATAAAATAATACAGAGGAAGACAGTTATACCCCCCACCCCATACATACATTGATACATATGGAGGTGCTACCATACGTTATTTATATGTTATAATATTTGAAACTGGCATTAAAATTATTTAAATTAAAGCATATACTATGCATTACAACATTAGGAGAGTAAATCTGTATTTATGATGTATTTATCAACTATTTAGAAGTTACTTATGCCTAAAATTATAACTCTAAAACTTAATTGGGTTGTAGGATCATCTCATACCAATATCTTTTTTGCTTAGGTATAATAGAAATTGGTTATGTCCATCGTGAAAATCTATAATTAATATAGGCCACTTTTGGATTCCCTAATCCTGTATCACATATCATCATGCCTGTGGTTCTTGTTTCCATATGGTTTTATAACCTCTCAGTTGTACATTCTTATATACATACAAAGATTAATCATCTAGGTTGTATTTATTATCATGATGACCTCTAGGTAAAATAATGTAGTTATGGATTGCCATAACCAATACAGAGTACTTCCATATACAGAAAAACCCAGGTGGCTTTTTTAGTCCCACACAGATACTTTGTCACTATTTGTGTTCTGACATGAGACTCAATTCGTAATGCTTTAACTTAGGGATAAGGAGCTTTATTTTAGTCATGTGACTGCAATTTGTATGGGACTCAACCAGGGGCGGACTGACCATTTGGAAACTCAGGCACTGCCCGAGACCCGGGGTCAGTAGGGGCCCCATGAGATGCCCCTGGTACCTTTTTCATAGGCTTTTTTGAGTTTGGACAAGGACACAGGGGTCCCATGATCCCCTATTGCCCGGGGGCCCCATGAGTTGTCAGTCCGCCCCTGGACTCAACTGAAACTAGTTGCCACTTTTATGAAAATAGATATTCTTATTATGGTGTTGTGACTATGGAATACAAACTGATTTTTATACGACTTTCACAGTAACTTTACTTTTAATGGGTACATAGTTGGAGTAGGTTGTGGTATTTTTTAGAAATTTATGTTCATGGTCTCTGTTGTGTTTGAGATTAGAATTAGAACTAGGAAAGGTTAGACTAAGGCCTTATTCACATCATACATGCAGAAAAAACTGCTGGAAAAAAAATATACAGATTTCACTTGCAGAGGCACAAGTTTACATAATTTTTCATGCACATTTCAGTGCTTTTTTTTACACATTGAAGATTCCTGTGCAGAAAAAAATCTGCGCATGATACTAGTGTTGTGAACTGGGCACATAGATAACAATTTTTTTCTTTGTGCCCTTGCAGAACACATGAAAAAAAAAATCACGTCTCTGCACACTGGTGTGAACAGGGCTTAACATTTATATTTGATAGCTTGGTTAAATAGATGTTTCCATACATTCAATTGACTGATTATATCGATGAGCAACTATTTAACAACTTCAAATAATTGGCCTCCAGCAGCTGCATGTTTTACATGGTATGCTTTATGTTTTCAAATACAAAACAGAAT